TACAGTGTTTTATCAATAATTTACAATTACAGTGATATATCTTTTATAGAAATTTTTTTTAATTTTAGTAATAAAATAAATGTTCACAATACTTTAATTTATTAGTGTAACAATTATATTTAAAATTCGTTTATAGGGAATATTTTCTGATTTTTGTATAAAAACTGAATATGATTACAACTTGTTGCTATATTTACATCATGAGGTATCCATAACAACCAAATAAATACCCTTTTATAAATGAAGCGCAAACTGCGTATATTAGAACTCTTACCAAACTTTGTTAATATACTAATAATATTAAAATGTATACTATTTTTTTCTTTAAAATTAGCTATTCTGTTCTACTAGGCTTTGGCCCCCACTTTTATTATATAAATAATACATATATAAATAAAATTTATATATGTAAATAATTAGTAAAAACGGGCGTCATTGAATTTACTAGTATCAAACATAAAGAAAAAAATTTTGTTCTCTTTCCCCGATAGAAATCAGCTACGTGATTCTGTTCTGATCTTAATCCGTGATTAAGCAAAGTATACACCATTAATAGAGATATAGCAGTCGCGTAGATAAACAAATGGAAAAAAAAATTTCATCCACTTTTTTTTCATAGATTCACACATTATGTAGGTTATATGATGTCACTGTCATTTATTTGAGACTATTTTCAATTAATTTTTTATGAATAGTTTAATAAAGTGAGTATACAATATAATTTATCATACTTTAACTTTATTAAATGTTTTAATTAATTTATATTTACATCAAACTTTAAATTATTGGTATATTAATGAAGATTTACCAGATGTATCTAGATTAAATGTTGTATAAGTAACAATATTAAATATAAAAAGTGTAATTTTCAGCATTAAAAAAAACAGCCACCAAAACTAAAAATAATAAATAAACAATATATATATATATATATAAATCAGCGTGATATATTTTAAATTCAATAACACACAACTTAACAACAATGCACTTAAAAAAACAGTTGTGTCCACTATCTGCCCCACTCTGCAATGGTCCCTTACAGAACAAAAGCAAATATTAAGAGACTTTTTTGGTAATTTGGTAAACTTAATTCTTAAATGTTACAAGACTAATTTTTCGTAAATATTTTTTGTAATCGTCAATGTTGTACTAATTACAAAAAATAATTAACTGACGTTGCATAAAGGAACAATCTTATTTAATGAGCACCTATATAATATGAGCATGCCAAAATATTTAAGGAGTGAAATTCAAGTTGCTATGTAACCAGGACCGTCCCGAACGGGGGTGTCCCACCCCCCAAAGCTGTTTTATATGCATTTGAGTTGGCAATTCTTAAAGTATAAGTTGGCAAATGTCAAATATCGAGGACTTTTTTTTTTTTTTGGTGTTTCTAGTGGCAAAAAAACATGTATAACCCCCCCTCTCCCTCCTTGAGTGAACTTTATGTGGTGATAATAGAAAGCAGTATAATTAGTGTAAATTTATACGCAGTAATTAGTGGCACTTACCTAATTAAAACGCTATTCAATTTTTTGTATTGTTAAAATACTATGGTTATGAAAGAATATGTGGCGCAAAATTTTGATGTTGAAATATAGATATTTATTTTTTTCATAAAGAAAAATATATCAGCTAGAAATCCGTTCCAATTTTGTTTGAAAAAACATGTATAGAAACATTTATTTTTGACTTCATTTAAAGACATTATTTTCTTGTAATATGAACATGCTCAAATTACCCAGTATTTTTTTATTAAAGTTACCTAGTTTAAAGTGGTTTTAATTGCTTTTTGAATTGAAAAGCAAAATATAGTAAATATACATAAATAATTTTTAATATTATAACAATAATAAATATCTTAATTTTAATTTCAAAAGTTTGTATTTTTATCGATTAAAAGTTTGAGTTAATAAAATTAAAAAAAATAGCAAACTAATTAATTATTTTTTTTGTAAAACAAAGTTGTATTGTTTCAATTAAAAGTGGCCTAAAATTTGATCTTTTAATGATAAACTATGTAAATAACAAACCATTATACTCCACAAACTAGTTCTAATAGTCAGGTTTGTATTTCTCTAATTAATGTTATATTTTGAGCTAATTTTAAGCGCTCATAGTATAATGCGGACTCGGTAATATGAGCACTTTCGCTACGTTTTTAAAACGTCTGCGGTTCTAAGAAAAAATTTCGCAAATATCTAAATGGATCATAAGAAGTTAACCCAAAAAATTGCAAAAATTTGCAAAAGTTTTGGATTCAGCAAAAATTTTGTATTCAGCATATTTATTCTTGAAAAATTTTGTATTCAGCATATTTATTCTTGAAAATATTCCAATTCTCGCTTAAGGTGCTCATATTACCCTAATCTACCCTAAATCAATTGAACAAAGGAGTTATATACATTAACAAGTAGTTTAAAATGGTTAATCTTTATGTGGAATTTTCATATTTTTTTGGTGAACTTGTGATGTTTTACGTTTTCAAACGACCACAATTTTTTTTTGTTTTTTTCCTTTTGAATAAAATCTGCTTTAATTGTATAATATTTAATTACTTTTTGCATATCTATTCATTTTTTGCATAGCCTTATGCTGAAAAAAATGTTTTTTTAATCCAAACTCAAAATCAAATTGAGGCAATTTAGTCTAGATTTAATTGATGTTTAAAAAATGTTTATGTTGGAAGGATTGATTTTATTCAATTTGGTTTTTGTTGCTTGTTTGCTTTCTTGCCCTAGTTCTTTTGGGATTTTGTAAACATTCAAGTTAACAAAGCAAATGTGTATTACGCATAAAATTAATCACAAAGTTAATCAGTTAAGTAAAAATAAATAGTTATATATAGTTATAATTAATATTTTAAGTAATTAAAGTTTACTAAATTTACATATTAAATAACAGAAACAAGTTGTTGTTATTTAATATATAATTTAAAAAGAAAGAAAAATAAACAATCATCAAAAATCTACGCTGGAGATTTGGTTGTTTATTTTTTCTCTTTTTTATTCGCTTTGAACTTTATTCAAGACCAAAATTTGTTAATTCACTTAAGCTTTCAGGAAATCTACCTTAAGATATATTTTAAGGATAAAAGTATCATCTTGTTGTATGTTTACTTAAATCTAAATAAACTAAAAAGCGTAAGACTTGGAAAATAACAACTTTTTAATAGTATTTTGGCATTATTGATTTTTCGAACTTTACATTATGCATTTTTTACATTTTTCTTGTATTTAAAACTAATATCTGTTTCGTTCATTATCTAGCTCATTATCTATACTAGATGCATAATAACATCGATGTAACTTTACTTGAAATTGATGTAGGGCTATGGAAGTCGTATTAGATTTGAAGTTTTTTACAAACTTTGAACAAAATTTGTAAAGACAAAAACTCAGTGCCGGATCAAGGGGGGCTAGGGGGGCTATAGCCCCGGGCCCCGCAAATTTAGGGGCTTCCAAAAATTTTAGAGGACTTTTTTTTTTTTTTTTTTAGTCATTTTTAAGCTCTGGCCCATAAAAAGACCTCCAAAAACAAAAATAGCCCTGGGCCCCAAGAAGTCTTAATCCGCCACTGCAAAAACTCATGAAAAAATTACATTATTTTATTTTAACGAAGTTTCAAAAGTATAAAAATAATTTACGCGGTAAAATTTAAAATAAACAAACTGTTTATTTTAAGTTTTTAACTGTTCAAATTTTTCAAATTAGCTTTAATTTTAGATGCTCTATTTTAATTTATTATAAAGCTATCCTATTTACTTACAATAAAGTTAGAAATTTTGCAATAGTTACAAAAATTAAGATTTTATTTTAGTTATTTTTATTTTTAAAACAATAAATTGTGAATTTTTTTTATTTACTAAATTCATAATTTAACAAAATGATACTTTGAAATCCTTTGTAACTAAAATGGCTGCGTCATTGAAAAATTTACATGTTTTGAAAGCTTGTTTTGACTTCTTTTTTTCACTTCACTAAAATCTTTCTAGATGCTTAGTCCTAATTACATGGATTCCCGTTTGGAAGGCATCTATAATATAATATAAAATTATTTTAGTCGACAAACAAAAAATACATTTTTACGTTGCAATTGTTTTTGAACTCAATCGAACTAAATTAAGAACTATTTAATTAGTTTTCCGAATGGTGTGAAAATTTTTAAAAACAAAAAACTCAACACGCATTTTTATAACACAACAGTCGTATTATGCCACAAATAGTTCACATACAAAAATCGACAGTAGGAAGTATAGACTTTTCACGATTTCTTAATAACAGTATCAAGTACCATTTACTATTCAGATTTCCAATATATATTTTAATTTTTTTACATTGAATAAGCAAAGCGAATCGTATACAAGTTTTTTAAATACTATTGAACTTTGAATAGAGCAATATGTTATAATTTAAAATTCCCCTGGCAATCATAAAAAAAACGACTTAAGCAAATCAAATCGCTTTTGGTTACTTAAATTCAATTGCAGTTTGATTTTTTATTTTTTTTTTTTAAAAAAAAGGCCGTATCACTGTGAACTTTTTAAACATGGAAATTGTACAAAGTATATTTTAACTTCTTTCATCTAAGCGTGAACACGCACAGTTGTTAAACAGCTTTAAAATCTGTTTGTTACCTTGAGTTAACAGTTTGCTTATAATGAACCACAAAGATAGGTAAGTTTTGTTAATTTGTAAAAAAATCTTGTATTTTAGCATTAATGCTTAAATGCTAAAAATTTATTAATTTTTATACGTACATTTTTTAATGTTGCTTTACAAATTTAATCAAAAATAACAATTATAAAAGCTAAAACTTTCAATTATTATAAAACTATAAAACATAAAGTCAACAAATATAATTCACAAACCAATATAACAGTGTTTTGTATGTTTTTGTGTGAGTTTGATCTTTCTCTTTTTAAAACACAAAATTTTTGAATTTTTTTCTAATCTCTTTTACTCATTTTTATTCTTACGAAGTCGAAATTATTCCAAGCTAAAATAAATAATCGAAGCTTTCATGTAAACTAAATCAAAGATACTTACACGTAAACATTTATAAAAATATTTTTTTCATTCAAACATTTTAAATACCCCCGTTGCCATTATTAGAGGACTTTAAGTGTGTTGTAGATTTCATTTAGCGAGTCAACGAAAAGAATATTAAAAGAATTACAGCGATAATTCCGATTTCTTTATTAATACCATAAATACAATTGTTGTTGCAAACACAAAGCATGAATGGTATGACGAGTAAAAAATGCAGTACATCCTGTGATGTTTTTTTTTAAAAGTTATAAAAAAATGAACCATTTAAAAATTTTGAGTATAAAGAAAGAATACAAGTATGCTTAATGTTTAAATTTGTTTTTAAAGAAAAACATGGATAAAAACGACACAAAAAGTAATAAAAATAACGATCTATTTGCACAAAACCGAAAAAGCTGGTAACTAAATTTTACACAGTTGTGAGCAACTTTTAGAAAAATAAATAAACATTGAAAAACTTAGAAAAACAAAAAAAAAGTTTTTTTAAAACTAGACCAGTAGATTTTTGAAATGGTTTAAACGATAAATTTAAATATTTTGCAGGACTCCAAGAGCATCATCTGAAAAAAAGCAAAATGGTTCTAACTTAAAAATTGGAAAGGGTATAGTAGCTATTGATATGTTATTTAGTCAAGCAATCATTTCTGAGTTTCTTGTTAATTTTTTTTTATAAATTATTTAGATAATGGAAGGGTAAAAGTATATGTCAGAATTCGTCCTTTTTTAAAGGACGAAGGGAAGAACAATGAGATGGCTTTTGAGATTTCGGAAAATTCACAGGTAAAGTGAACATCGTTAATTTTCATTAGTTTCACGCGGAGTGTTTATTTATACAATTTGTTAAACACATCGCTCAGCGGGGTTAAAAAGTAAATAATAACAATTTTTAGGTTTTACATATTTGCTATTATTATTATAAGTTATTTTTATTATCAATATTAACTTGGTTGACTTTCTATTTATTTAAATAAAGTTCAAATAAAAATTATATACTTTTTCAACATTACTTTTCTAACCCATTTTGTATATATATATATATATATATATATATATATATATATATATATATATATATATATATATATATATATATATATATATATATATATATATATATATATATTATATTATATTATACTATATTATATTATATTATATTAGTTAAAAGTTGCAGCAGATGAAAGAGGTTTTCCTGAAAAAAACTACAACTTTGATCACATTTTTCATCCTAACAAAACAAATGAGGAGGTTTTATTTTATTTAAACTTTATATTTAACTTTAATTTGTTTATATGATTTAAGAAATTAGATAAATTAACTAAAATTAAAAATTATTTTAATTAACAAACAGGTTGAGATTTTTAGTTTTATTAGTTTATTTCGCCGTTAAAAATATTCACAATGTACAACAATATAAAAAGTACAATTGGCTGGAGCAAGAAGAAGGCATAAATTAGCCTTATCACCGAGCCCCAATAGTAAAGCAAATAAATATCCGTAATATATAAGCAACAGCATTTAAAAAAAGACAATTTTAAGATATTAAGAAATAAAATGAAATGATTAAAATATAGTGATAAAAATGACAAAAATTTTCTGTTTTTGGTTATAAACTGAACGTAATTCGATATATATATTGCATATATTTTTTTTTTAATAATTTGAAATTAAAATAAATTTTTTGTTCCAATATCATAAAATATACCAAGAAAATTGTAGATAACTTCAAGGGTAAGTATTTTCAATGAAAGTATGATAAAGACATTGAAATTCTTAATATTGACTTTGCTCTTTTGTTGAATGGTCTAGATTTTTAAATTTATGGTGCTAATTTAGTTTAACAACTTTTAAAAGTGACAGAGAAAATCTGCTATATTAAAATCTTTAAGTACTAAATAACGTTTTAATTTAGATTTAAATGGCGGAAATGTTTTTTCTTTAATATTAACAATGCTGAAAGTTTTCCCACAAAATTGGTCCCCGGTACTTGGTGGGGTATTTCTTGAGAACTTGGTGGGGTATTTATGGCTTACTTCTCTAAAATAAGGATAGAATATTGTTGGAGACAGTCTATACTTTATTTGATACATCAACTGTATTATTTGAATTAAAAATTGTTTAGGTATGCAAAGTACTCACAGAGCCTCTCATGCAAGCTGCAACAAATGGATTTAATGGCACGCTTATGGCATATGGTCAAACTGGGTCAGGTAGTTATTTAGAAAATGATATATACGTAAGAGTATTTAAAATCTGTTTTACTTTAGTTTAACATTTCAGGTAAAACTTATTCGCTTATGTCGGACACCGGAATAACAAGAAGCTTGATTGATCGTTGTTTTGAGCATATACAAAAAGATTTGAAGCATTCTTATAAGGTATTTTTCAAATAGAAATTAATAACTTGAACAGAGAGTAAATTTTTATTTAATAATTCCGAATGTTTTTATGTCGTATTTCAATGTACCAAAAAATTCATTTTTACCGCGTATTTACAAGTTATATATCACCTATTACGTTTTCGTGTTTTTTTTTAACTATTTAAACTGAATTTATCTCCTCAAGGCGGATTACAGTCAGGAAAACATTTTTTTTTTAAATTGTTGTTACCGCTCTCAACTATATACAGTTGACTCTCAATATATCGAACTCTCAGGCAACCGGGAAAAAAGTTCGATATGTTTAGAGTTCGAGGATTTTGGCTCAAACGAGTGCGCAAGGGACCAGAAATAAAGTTTGAGATACACAAAGGTTCGAGATATCAAGAGTCAACTGTAGCTCCAAATCACAAACCTTTACAAGGCAGCTGCGCAATGAAAATGCTAGTTTATCGAAGATAAATATATTTTTTTATTGCTGTGATAAAAAAGTTGAAATTTCTTGTTAGGTAAACGTGTCCTACTTACAAATCTACCAAGAAAAAATATATGATCTTTTAAATAATCATGGAAAAGGTGAACTAGCAATACGAGAAAATCCAAAAACCGGTATGTGGAAGAATTCTTTTTTGTTTTTGTGAAATATTTTCTGAAGATTCTTTATTTTTGATATTTTTGTATTCTTTAAATCAATATATTCAACATAATGCTGATTCAGCTAATTTAAGGAGTTTATGTTGAAAATATGACGGAATATGTTGCCAGAAGTCCCGCAGAAGTTATAGAGTTAATAGATAGCGGGAAAAAAAGATTAGTGTTTGCGGAAACCAAGATGAACAGAACGTCTAGTAGGTAGGCATATAATTGTTTCAAATTATTATTTTTTTAAATGTATTTTTGTTCTTATTCTTATTGGCTTGTTTACCCAAACGCTCATGTTGTTGCTCATTTATTTATATATTCGTCTAATTTTATAGTGGTTATCCACACGCACGTAATAATGCTTTGTTTTCTTAAGTAAGTTCATAAAGAGTGACGTTTAATAAAATACATATAGATCTCACGCAGTGCTGCAAATGACAATTGAAAGACAACTTAATGAAGATTTAAAAGAAAAAGAAAATCCAAGTGAGATAATTAATATAATTGCGCTTATTTTATTTCTTAGTTTTTTTATTATACCTTTTTAATTTGCTGATTTTAATCGGCTTGATTTAATAAACTTTTTTTTTAAACAAAAACTGATTTTATTTAGAAGAAATAATGACACCACTGCAACCTTGTGTAAGTAATTTTTTAATTTGATGTACAATTTTAAATTTTGAAAACGCGAGACCATAATTTTATGATAAATTTAAAATTTTTTGCATGTTTGGGGAAGAGGTAACGCTACTAATCAGGTCTGTAAGAACAAAAATTATATTGGAGGAGGGAAGGGTGGAGGATAAATACTACTGGGTAGGTCAAACACTTTAAGGGTGAATCAGAATAAAACCTTATGATTTTGCTTGAATGTATAATAAAGGGAACTTTAATTTATATTCTACTTGATTTAAAAGACAGAATAGGTATATCAACAGCTTTTTATGTTTGGGTGAATTTGCTAACATATTTAAGTTGACATTAAATATCGTATTTGAAGAAGCATCCAAAAACGTTTAAACATGTTTCTTTCCAATTAACGAACTCTTTCGCAACTTCAATCATATCGATTGTGTCAGTCCTATTTTTATGAACATTTAATAGCATAATATGATTCAAGCGTTTTTAAGTTGTTGTTGATCTTTCGCTTACGGCATTGTTTGCAGACATAACCAGGAGGATCTTTGCCAAAATAACCACTTGAGGCATAAAGCACCTTTCACCCGTACTTAAGTTTTGTAAAAATGAAACTAATTCGTTTGCACTAACTAACTGTTTCTTTTAAGTCACTGACGACTGTTTCTTTCAAGTAGAACCTAAAATTTTGCAATTGAGCAATTAATTTACCTTTTCTAAAATCATTTTCAAATACCTCGAAAACAACATCGAGTTCTCTGTTATTCATGAAAACTTGTTGCAGATTTTGGTAAACAACCCTATCTGGCTGATCAAAACGAGTTGTTATCGTTTTAGCTAAGTTATGAAGACCTTCGTAATAAATCTTTCGATATATCTCCTCCGTTGTTTCAGGATAGCAAGTGGTATTACCAGTATAACAACTTTCAATTCTAGCAGGACGTCTTTTTGTCCTTGGAATGAAAAGATCTTAAAACTACAATCACAATTGCAAGAATTTTACATATTTCCAAAATCCCTCAAATGGCTGATCGTTTCTAATTGACATCAGTGTTTTCGCCGTATTAGAAGTTATCTGTTATCTGTTTGTATTAAAATCATTTTTCCTAAAAGACAACAAAAAAGAAAATCGAACTGTTGCATGTATAACATAACACCGCGGATACGCGCTATCATGTCAGTTTCCTTTACATTTTTCAACAACCTATCCCATAAAAACATCAGCTCATCGTAATTTTTGATCATTGCTTGGCATGATTCCCCACGAATAGTCCAGCGAGTTGGACAAAATGCATGAACATTACGGTTTTCATTTTCGCCTAATTCACGGAGTTCTTTTAGATGAGTTTCTCTTTTTGGAGATTTTTTTACAAGTTTACAAATTTCTTTTATTGTTCCAAAGGTTTCTGACAACAGTTTAACATTTCTAACGGAATCTCCTATAGCAAGATTTAAGGCATGCCCATAGCAATGTGTATAGAAGCATTTTCGATTTAGTATTTTTATTACTGTTGCAACTCTTTTTTTTACCTGCCATAGCACCTGCACCATCGTAACATTGTCCACAAGCATAATCCAGTTTGAGGCTTATTCGTAAAATGACATCCTGTAAATGCGAAAGAGTTCTTAACGCTAAAGCTGAAATTAAACAACAAACTTCCTGCTAAAATAAGAAATCTTTATTTGTCCAAAAGAAAACTACGCATGCTCACGTGATTATTTTTCCGTGGAACAGTAAAGGGAATGGAAGTGGATACTCACCTTTACGCCAAAAATACGGATTGTTGCATTTTCAGGTTTAAACCCACCATTTTGGATGAGATCCTTAAACGTGGCCGGAAAATGTCGATTTGTCAGGCTTTGAAAGTGATTTTTAGTCAAATAACTTTCGACTATTCACTTCTATTCGCCTTTTATTGTTTTAAAAACGCCAACATCTAATGGCTGTAAAAAATGGCTAGTATTTTCAGGCATATAAAATAATAATTACCTCTATCCGGATGTAGGTGTCTTTTTTTTGCTGGTAGTAAATTTGTTTTTAATTTTTTTCAAATAATTCAAAGGGTAATAAAAAAATTTTTTTAACTCAAATGATCAGCATAAAATTCTGCATAAAACAGTGTTTTTACTTTTTAATTATTTCATTGCAAATTTAAGTTATTTTTTTCTTTTTTTTGTTAATTTATTTATGTTACATTTCAAATTGAAATCTTTCATAATTGCATTATTTCATATAATTTTTTTTTTATATTGTTTGATTTTTCTGGTATAGACGTTAATTAATTAGAAAAAATAATTCATAAGTTCGTTATATTAGGCGAGTTATGAAACTTTTTACTAAAACCATCTGGAATTAGGTTACATCCAGAATTAGGGGGTTTTACGGTATAGAACAAATATATTTAAAAAATTTAATAAGTTCTAAACCTAACCAATCAAATTTAAATTAAAAATCTGTTGATTTTGAAAAAAAAATTATTTTTAGGACTCATCTTTTAGTTTGGATCTGGATTTACTTGGAAAAGGTGTCATTATAAAAGGAAAAATACACATGTAAGCATTTTATACAAAACATTTAAGAATGCAATTTGCGCAAAAAAAACAAATAAATATTACAAGTTGTTATTTAGATGTGATTTAGCAGGCAGTGAAAGGATTAAACGCACCGGTGTATCAGGGGAAAGATTGAACGAGGCTCAACATATAAATTCATCGCTCTTGGAGTTAGGGTAAAACGTACATTTTATTTTTTACTTACAAAATGTTTTACATGAATTTTTTTTCCCTTACTTTTTTCCAAAAAAAAGTGCTACTTATCAGTACTTGCTCAAAACATTTGTTCGTTAAAACGTTGTTTTCACTAACAATGCGTCAGCGGAGAATTAAGAGGCCTTATTTGTGTTTTCAAAAAAATTGAGTTTTGATTAAATTAGATTTTAGTATGTAAAGACTTTCTGCCAAAAAGTTCTAGAAATTACTTAAATATTTTTTAATGTTCTATTATTTTTTTAACCAGATTTATTGTACACACTCTCAACTGGTTGACGAATATTTATTTACAATAAATAGAAAAAACACAAAATGTAGACATGCAGCCACTTGGTTCTCAGCTGACGAATAGTCATACACATTTTATATTTTCAAACAACTCATATGTCAAAACGGCGTTATTTTAACGTTGGGCGACAAAAATATTTACATAAATTGTTAAAAAAAAAAAAAATTTTTTTCAAGTAATGTGATTGCTGCATTAGCTGATGAAAGTGCATCGCATATTCCTTTTCGAAATTCTGTACTTACTCGATTACTACAAGAAAGTTTGGGAGGAAATTGTAAAACAAGTTTAGTGGTAAATTGATTTTTTAAATTTTACGACTGCATTTTGGTTTTACATTAAATAATAGTTATTATGTTGCTCTTATATTAAGGTTTGCATTTCACCTGCTTTTCAAGATTTACAAGAAACAAAATGCACTTTGAATTTTGGACAACGTGCAATGAAAGTTAAAAATACTGCTTATGTAAATATGGAAGTTGATTTCAAAAGTCTTTCTGACCAACTTCTTAAAAAACTTGAAGCAAAAGGTTAATATATATATATATATATATATATATATATATATATATATATATATATATATATATATATATATATATATATATATATATATATATATATATATATATATATATATATATATATATATATATATATATATATATATATATATATATATATATATATATATATATATATATATATATATATATATATATATATATATACATATATATATATATAAAATTATTTTATGCGATATGTAATTATTGCTGCGTAGGCATAATTTGAAAAACTAGTTGTTTTTTCTTATTTTTTTTTTTTTTTTTTTTTAGACGAAGAAATTGATTTAATTCGCCGGCAGTGTAATGAAGAAATACAACTTAAGTGTAGCCATTTGCAAGAAGAAATATTAAGAACAAAACTAGATCACCGTGAAGAAATGAAACTACATAAGAAAAATTTTGAAGATAAGGTAATTTATTTACTTAAATTAATTACAATTGTTGTGACCATAAACATTTTTTATGAAAAAAACTATTTGTTGCCATTTTAGTGCCAACTTTTTGTCATTTTTGTTAATGTCAATTGACGTTTTAAACTTTAAAATGTCGAAAATTAAATTTGCCGCGATAATGGCTCGTATTTTCATCCTCTGTTACTATTTCAAAAAAATATTTGGAAACATTTTTTTTATTGTTCCTATTATATTTTTATTGCTTTTACGTATGTTACTACTTAAGTGGGAAACATTTACTAATACGTAGAAATAATCATACGAATATTGTTTTTACATAGTTCTGACAAATCAAATCAAAGTTAAATAATAATGTCATGATGTTGTTTTTTTCCACCTCCTTTCTAACCAATGACACTTATTGGCATCAAACCACGAATCTCTAATCACTGCACCACGGCTGCTTAATAGTTTTTTTTGTTTTTGTTTCAGGTACACTAAAAAACCTAATGGTCTTGTTACATATAAAATATTTTTTACATTTATAAATTAGTACCTCTAAAAATAATTTGTGTCAAAATGAATTTTCCATTTTTGTTTTTTTTCTTAAATCTAATTAGTGTAATTGATTTCTATTTGAAAATAAAAATAGGATTTATTCCCATTTATTTCCATTTATGAAAAACAATTTTTTTATAAAAAAAAAAAAAAAAGATTAAATTTTATTTCATATACTATTTCAGTATTTATTAGTTGTCAAGCTTTAACACCTTCAACCAAGCCTTAAAAATAATACAGTTAGAAAATAGTTTTAGTGAAAAAATAGTTTTAAATAAGTTGATAACGACAAAAAAAAAACCCTAAAATTTCTAATCTATTTAGACAACAGCATTAAATAAAGAAATTACAGCATTGGAGGAAAAACTATCTTTAAAAAGAAATGAAGTTGTAAGGTATGAAGACTACATATTAAGCTTGAATGATCAAATGGAAAATGAAAAACGTTTGGTAATAGCTGGAATTGATGTTGATTCGATACTAGAAGGCTTCCGTATGCCACAACATATTGAAGTTTTTAAAAAAAAAGACATTGGTGGTTTTTTTGAAATTATTCGAATTTTAATACAACATATCAAAGAGATTGAAACGATACTTTCTAGTCAACCCAGTATAATGGTTTCCACTCTAGAACGTCTGAAACGCAGTTTAATTGCCGTTAAAAATGAAAACAACCTTTTAACTGAAAAAAAAGGTATATTACTTCAGAAACTATTTGATGGAAAGGAAAATTTAAACGGTTTACTCAAAATCGTATCTGCGTTTGATGAATCTTATAGAGGTATGAGTTTCCTAGTTTTTAATATTGATTTTTTTAAAACAGTTTATAGGCACTAATGAGATAAAACGTTTGCTTCAATGTAAGAGTATATTTTCTGCCCACCAATTTGTTTAAAAACTTATAACAGATGTACTTACGAGTTTTAAAAACAAATATTTGCATAATATTCGTACTTGCTTTCATTTTCAACATTAATTCGAATATTTTAACACTACCGGCAGAGGTAATAATAAAAGAATTCGGTAAAAAATTAATTTAACAAAGTATAAAACAAAGTTGTAACGAAATTTAAAAAAATGCAAAATTCTAGACTTTGCAATTAATGTGTTTATCAAAAAATAAATTGTTTTGATTTTTTTGTAGAGCTTCATCAGTTGGTTTACAAATATTTTTTGAAAAGCTATCTTCAGAAAATTATCGCATTTGCTGAACATTTTTCTTACCAAATTGAATACTCTATTTTATCAAAGTTCAACAAGAGTTTATCAAACGAAATTGCTCAAATAAAATCTAATTCCACTTTAGAAAATCATTATGAATTAAAGGGAAAAAGTACAAAAGATTCTTTTACTAAACATAGAGACAAAACTAATTTCACTATGAGAGATGTGGAAATACAAACAAGCGAATGCCCTAAAAGAACTACAAACAGTGTTGGTATACAAGTCAGTAAAAAAGATATTAAATCAGTAACTGCAAATCCCTCAAGCTGTGAACCGTTTTCTGTTACAACAACTGAAAATACAAGTTATAATAACGTTAGCACTTTAAATGTATTAGAGCCAGTTGCCTATTTGTCACCTAAAAGAGTACTTACTACAACAGTGGAAAACCAAGAAAAAATAGTCACAGAGATTGCAACGGAAGATATACTAGATAACCCACTGTCTATAGAAGATACAAAATCTATATTTTTAAACTTTTCTTCCACACTTGATAGAATCGAGGGTCTTGTTCAGAGTGATCGGAAAACAAAGTTGGATTCTTTAAAATCAAAGCTTAACATGTATTCGTCTAAACCGAACTCAGGTAAAACGTCTTTATTAGGTTTTGGAGAATCTTCAGTTACTGGCAATAATTCTAAATCTTATACTGAATCATTTAACTTATACATGAAAAATCGCAATTATGAGGATGATATGACAAAAAATTACCGAGAAGAAACAAGTGGTGACTTAAGAAAACTCGTTTCAATTGAAATGGAAAGCAAAGCATTGCAAAATAACTGCAAAGCGTTAGAAATTGAAATTGAACAGGTTCGTAAAGATAATCATGAATACTTACAACTTTTGCAAGATTTATCTCACATTAATGTATTTACTAATCATTTATCTGATGTCAAGAAACAGATACAGCAAAAATGTGACCGAAAACCGCAAGCTACACAAACCGATGATACATTTGATAAAAAAGAACCAAATAAGTTTAACAACAGTCAAAAAATTACAGCCCACATCAAGCCACTTCAAAGCAACAATAGGTCTTATTCTCCTGGTAGTTTTATTAATTTATCATATGATATGAGCGAAAATGATACCTTGACAAACATTTCTACTGTTTTTGAAATATCTGATCAAACTTACTTACATAAAAATCAAAATGGGAGTTCTAGAAGAGCTTGGGATATAAAATCTCCTTCTAGAGATAATCTTTCACCAATACCAAATAATGAAATCGAATTTAAACAAGCAGCACCTCCATATCTACAAAATGTATTTTCTAGATTGCGGAATAAAAGTATTGATGAACACAAGCCTCCCCGAGCCCGTCCTACAACTTGGTATGGTACTAACCATTATGATGAAAACCTTTTAAAAGACAATAGTTTAAATTTAGATGAATATGACTTTGAAATTAACAGCAAAAATAGTTGGCTGCGTAATGGACGAAACACAAACGTATAAAAGATTGCGGTTAAACCAACAGCCATAGCTTTAACAAACAGAGCTTGGTTCTTCTAGGTCCAATATAAATATTAAATTACTTCCCTTATTTGTTATTCTGCTATTTAAAGTTAACAAGTATTGTAACAATAAATAGATTTTAAATTATTTTAATCACTTGTATAATAATGTATTTAGTACTTTTATTTAAAAACATTTTGAAATAAATTTAGTGACAATTACCTTTACAAAATGAAATACGTACATTAATAATAAAATTTAACCGGGTCAAAGTGACATTTTCTGTCCACCCAACAAAAATAAAAAATTTAACTATTAATTTTTTCTTAGAAACGGTTTATTATAATAAAAAAAATAATTAGCAAAAAAATAATTTTAAATTTTATAACATTACATTATAAAATTATTTTGCAAACTTTCCATTTTTTAAAAATTTTGTTATCTAACAACCAAATTAACAAGAAGGATAATATTTTAACGTAGAATGTTCCGTCGTTAGCTTTTTCGTTAATTCAATGACACCCGACGATAATTTTTTTATTGTTTTAAATCGTTTCACAAAGTGTGTAAATAATGAGATCATACACATAATAAACAATAAAACAGGTCTAATTTTTGTTTTTGCGACCGCATTTTTTCGTTAAACCTTTTTAAAAGATCCTAAACACTTTATTGTAGCTTCTTGAGGATTTTTAGGTAACATTCCTAATGAATGAGTAAATGATTTAATATATTATAAAATAATGGTAATAAAAAAACACTCCAAATGTTCAAAGTTCATTCAGGCTTACATTCTGTCATGTTACTTATGCATGAAATAATTAATACACATGATAATTATGTAGACGTTGATAATAATATTAATAAAAAAAAGTGTTATTAGATATTCGTAAGTCAGAAACAGATTTGAATAAGCGGCTGCATTAAATTCAATCCAACTCTTAGAATAAATTTGTTTCTTCTGAATCGCCGTCACAAAAGCTTGCTAAAAACTTATCATGTTGTGTTTTGGAGAGCCTACCAAAGTTTATAGCAAAGCTATTCAATTAATACCGCAATCTGTTGGAACCAGATTAGTTAGCTGAGAAATTTTTGTAAAATAGTTTTCTGGAATACCATTTTCAACAATTTCTTAAAAACGTCTTGGATCTAAACATGAAGTGTTTCTAATTATGTTCCTTTTAACTAAGAAACGTTTATCTATGCTACTAATAACCTAATCAATTACTCTATGAATAACTTTTACTCTGAAACGATCAAGAGGATTCTCTAGTATGTCGTCAAAGACAACTTTCCCTACCATACTTTTCTTTTAATGCACTCGTATTATACGCAACTCTATTTCAACTTCTGAATCAAATTCACTAGCATCATGGAGAGTATTGGTTTCTTCAACAGCAATTGTATAATGGACATCTTCGATAGATATTGTCTGCAGTTTTGTTTTGTTGACTTTATTATATTCTAAACGCTTAAATAACCCAGACCTCTTGTTATCAAATATTTTGAAGCTTGTCGCAAAATAGTGTACACTCGTAGCAGAAAAGCTGCAAGAAGTACCTTGAATTGACAATATTTGTCATGCAATACTGTGGCTTCGAATGTTGATTTTGCATAAATTCTTGATTATATCTTTATGCAATTAAAAACTTGCCAAAGAGCATAGAAAGATTCCACTTGTGGAGCATCATAGGTTCTAAAAATTCTTCAAGCACCACTGTTTTGACCAGGAGCATGTTTTATCAATTTTTTGCTGTCTTTTCAGTTTTGCAGATCAAACCCCTTGCCCAATAAGAACATCTGTTTAAATATTCATTCGTTTGCAAGAATTGGCAAAGTAAGGTACTTTGCTCTGCAAGAGAGCAATTAAAATTTTGACAGCTTGTACACACAATATTTGTTTCGAAAAAAATTCAGGACGTAGGCGTAACACCATATGTATACAGCATTTTGTGATGTAAAGTTAAACTTAATAATATTCACCATGACTTTTTGCTGCTCAATCAAAAGATTCACAGTTCTTCAGATTTCAATAGTTGGTATAGTCCTGCACCCGTTGCACTTATATTTTTTCTTACAGCAAGCAATCGCTCTTTCACGCACTGTCCATGTACATACTTCAAGATTATCGTCTCCTGATGAATCGCCGACGTAGCTTAACTATCATCTATTTGTACACTAAATTTCTAATCAGCAATTTCCTTGACTATAACGTTCTTTATCAAGTTTGAAATAGCAGCTTGAATATTGTTAACTGTAGCCTTTAACAAGATTGTTACCAAGCCTTCACGTCCACATGAGTTTCGCTTTCCTCTCCGAATCAAACATTCTTTCCTCTTTGGACTTACCTTAATTAATTTTTCTGCATAATTTTTTAACAGAAACGTTGAACTCTACTATCAGAAATATTAGTTCCAATAAGTTCCTGTGATCGATAGATTTATCGTGCAAACAGTAGAGAGATTCACCCCGATTACCTTTGTATAGAAGAGCTTGCTTCCCAATGAAAATAACTGCTGCAAAAATTCTTTTCAGTACTTTAATATTTTTTAATACTTGCACTTTCTGCTTTTCCACTAGACCTTTATTAATTAAAGTGATTTAGATTCTTCATGATCTTCATAAACCAAAGAATAAATCTTTGGTTTAGGAACATTTTAAATAATAAAAGAGATAAACTAAAATCTTCTTTTAAAAATGCCATTCATGCATTATAAAAAAGCCACGATTTGATTCTATTCAACTCTTGCAATTATCCAAAGTATTTGGACACTGTGTTTGACAAGGTACTTACTTCACCAATTACTTCAGGCGTTATATTTGATGAAAATGCATCCTTCTTAATTAACACTGGGTTTGGCTCGGGAACAGTTGCTTTTTTAATAACATTATTAATAAACTCTTTATTAAACAGCAGCTTGTGTTGTTTAGGATCATGGCCTGATTGAAGCAAATTACGCCTTTTCTTTTTTTGTCTTCCTTGGGCACCAATAGACTTTCTCCTAACCTTACACGATGATGTGTAAGATATTGTAGCGACCGTCTTATGTTTATTAGACATTGAAGAATTCGCTTGGCGAAAAAAATTTTTATTTTATAATTGTATAAATATGTTGTAATTTTTTAATTGTAAATTTAAAAAATTAGATTAAACCGCTCACCTTTAAAAAATAAAACAATTTTAAAGTTGAACGACCTTGATCATTTAAAACTAAACTTTTAAATAATCACAAAATTATGAAATTATTCTTGATCCGTTGTTTTTTGTAGCGTCCTTCATGCGTTATTTCCCTTTAGAATAATTTCGAAAAGAAGCAAATAACTTAAGTTAATTCAAATTAAAGCAAACAATTTTGCATTTAAAGAAACTATGTGACACGCTTTTGGAAGCATAAATAAGCGTCAAAGCCGTTTAGTATATACATGATGCTTTAATTGGATTGTCAGAAATTAAAGTATTATGAATTTGCTCATAAAACGGCATTACATAACAATTTTATAGTTAATAATATTATTAATAATGTTAATAATATAGTGTTGTAAAGGTGGGCGGCAAGGATGATGGTGCGCATCAAGAAATTTCCCGGTTTCCTGGTGGGCCAGTCCACGCCTGAATATCATGACCACATGGTCATAATGTTGGCTGAGACATTGTGTGACTGAATAAAATGTGAGCTGTGTTACTATACTTGATGTAACTACCCCCAACTACTTTTGATTGGTCTGTGACATTACCCTTTTTTTTTTAATGATTAAAATCGAACCTTAACTTTCCTCAATTTCATATTTTTTGTTTTACAGTGACTAGTTAACAACGGTTTCGAATTTTTACAAATAACGTATTCTCTCGAATTTCTCCAAATAACTTGTTTTTATCTTTGAAACGATTTAGCTTAAGGTGGCACACAACTGAAAGCAGGTTTCTTTTTATTAATTTTTTTAAAACTATTTTAGTAGTAGTAGTAGTAGTAGTAGTAGTAGTAGTAGTTGTTGTTGTAGTAGTAGTGGTAGTAGTAGTAGTAGTAGTAGTAGTAGTAGTAGTAGTAGTAGTAGTAGTAGTAGTAGTAGTAGTAGTAGTAGTAGTAGTAGTAGTAGTAGTAGTAGTAGTAGTAGTAGTAGTAGTAGTAGTAGTAGTAGTAGTAGTAGTAGTAGTAGTAGTAGTAGTAGTAGTAGTAGTAGTAGTAGTAGTAGTAGAAAAAATGCTGCAACAGGTTTCCCTGAAAAAACTACAGATTTTGGCAGCCTTATCAGCCTTATCAGAAAAAACTACAGATTTTGGCAGCCTTATACTTCATATTCTAATTTTATTCATATCAATATATAAAAATGTACAACAAGACATATAGTATGAAGTATAAGTTTGTACTTTATCATTTTTCCTTGAAACTGTTAACTAATAAAGCGCATACAACTTCTAACGGCAATGCATTCCAATGATTCACTATTCGATTAGTAAAAAGCTGGTGCCTTTGCTCGCAATTTCGTACATATTCTCTAGTCATTTTTAGATGATGTCCTCTAGTTTTTATTTTATTTGATTTCCCAACACAAAGAACATGGGGTTCACTCCATGAGACAATGTCTATATTGTTAATAATTTTATAGGCCTGTATCAGATCTTCCCTAATGCGACGGGTTTCTAAAGAAGTTAAGTTTATTATACTCAGACGATTTTTGTATGACATATGACGGTACGAAGGTATTAAACTGGTAGCTCTTCTTTGTACTTTCTCGATTTTATCAATATCTATTCTTAATGATTGATTGCTGGCTGGTCCTACAAAGTCTGTGTATAGAATTTTAAGTAGTTGCGGAGTCATGTAATTGAAAGTTCAATACAACATATCTAATACACGGTTGGCTTTATTGGTTGCAAAAGTTGAACTGTTATGCTATTTTAAGTCTGGCGTAATCATGATGCCTAAATCACGTTCGACTAAAATTGATGCTATTTTGACACTGTTATTGTTATTAGCTGGCATTGAGTAGACATAAAAGTTGTTTTTTTTTACCTATGTACATGATTTTACATTTATCGAGAATAAGTTTCGTTTTCCAGGTTTTACACCAATCGGCTATGTTGTAGATTCAGTTTGAAGCATTTGTGAAGCTAATGGGTGGTCTAAACGGGCCAGCAGTTTTGTGTCATCAACATACATTTTACATGGGTAGTTAACAATATAGAATATATCGTTCACAAAAATGATAAAAAGTATTGGAAATAAGACAAACCCTTGAGGGACGCCATTAAATACCTCAAGCCACAAGCAAACTGCTCAGCTTGTTTTTAAACAGATCTTGTGTTATTTGCGAGTATTTGCAGATGGCTTCAGTTCGTTTTATAAAATATGGCAGTTCATCATCTTCATTTTTGTTGAAAACACTTTGAAAGTGGTTTTTCAGCCGATTTGTAATTTCTATTGGATTTGTGATAGTGTCGCCATTGATTCCTTTTAATGCTGTTATTGTAGTTCTAACATTTTGTTTGCTATTAACATACTTGAACAGGATCTTTGCTTTAATTTTATCGCTAAATCAAGTTCAAACTCACAACGAGCTGATAAATGAGCTTCTTTAATTGAGTATATCACGTTTTGTATTCGTTTACTAGTTTAAGATTTTTATATCCAAAAAGTTAATAGTGCTGAATTGTTTTTATATAATTTAATTAGTTTCTCAAAAAGTGGCACACTACTAAAAATAAATAAGTTTTTAAAAATCACATTTAGGATTTTTTGGTTTTTTGGTTTCATAATCATTCATTCCTGCAACATTCAATTTTGGTATTTTGATTTCACAATCATTCCTGCAACAATTAATGCAACATTTAGTAAAAAAATTTATTTTCAAAAATAGTATAAAAGTTGATCTAACGTCATTTTAGTTAACGTCATTTGATGTAGAGCGACATCAAAACCATAGTTTATTTTTAGCTCTTATTTCATTCTTGATGTCAAGGTGCACAGTGAATAATATTGAGGACCCAATTTTCATTTTCGGCTATAATTAGATTAATAGTGTTATTCAAAGTGATTTCATCAAGTGGAAAAGTGGGCTTAGTAACAAATTGTATCAAAAACGACTCGGCAATAAAAATGTCAATAAAATCACTTGAAAGGCTATCTGTGTTGCTGACAGTTGGGATACTGCTCGAATCCCAGTTAATCCCTGGCAAATTAAAGTCTCCACAAATCAACAAGCCACTATATATATTAGACAGAAATTCATTTGCTTTAATAATGGACGCTTCAATATTCTCGAGTGGATCTAGCATGTGTGGCATGTATATGCAACCCAGAAGGATGTGTTCGGAAGCATACGATACTTCGCACCAAATTTGTTCAGGGGAATCTAATAAAGCAATTTCGTTTCCCCACCTCCTCTACTGGACACGCAATCTTTTCTAAATAACATATAGCTTTCAATGTTAGTTATCGATGATTCATGCCTTCGTTTCTGTAACGAAACTTCGTAATGAAAATTATTTTAGGCTTGTATGTCTTAATAAATGCTAGAAACTCTGGCATTTTATTGTTAAGGAATGTAGCATTGGTATAACAGGATGGTATTTTATGGAAAACTGACTGTTGTAGCAGACTGATAGTTGAAAGTGACTTATGCTCTAAAGGAATTTTGTTTAGATTCAATTGTCATTATATGGTTTTAAATTACTTTTTGTTGACTGCTATTTGTCTACTTTAACCACAGCATTATTACGAATAACTTAGTAATAGCTTGCCATCGCCCAGTTGTTTTTTAAACTGAGAGGCTTGTTTCTCTTTTTCAACTCGTCTCGTAATTGTCTATCTTGTCTTCTTTGTGCTTCTGTCAGATTTGGATTAAGATAGATCCCTTCAAATTTACGCCGGGCTGCCTTAACAATATTATTTCTGGTGACAGTGTCTGTCGTTTTTAATTATTCTAAATTTTAATAATTTTTTTGAAGAAAAGAAATTTATATTAAAACAAAATTTTAAAAAATTTAAAAAAATTAAAATTTTTTTTGTTGAAAAAAAAAAATCATAATGGCTGAAAATGTATTTTAAAAGCTGTGTTTTAAGCAAAACTTCAAAACCTATTAATTAAGCAGAACTCGAATAACGAGAAAATGTGTTTTAATGTTTCAAAAAAGACATTTTGCCAAAAAAACGAAAATCAGAAAAAAATGTATAAAAAGAACATAAAATTTTCAAAATCCATCAGGAATGTAACTATCACTTGTTTCTTTTACATGCTGACCATCTATAAAACCATTTTTAACTTTTTTTTTTATTATTTGTATTTTACTTTTAACTGTTGACTTTGACCTTATCTGTCGAATTTTAGTTTTGTTAATTAAGCTAAAATACTTTAAAAATTCTAATAAACCATTTACACCGTCATTATTATGTAGCGCTGCTGAATATGTTTCCATTTTAATTGTAGACTTACAAACAAATGCGTGACTTTTGAAGAATTTCCATGTCATTTGCATAGAACTTATACATTTTTCTGTTTGTTTACTTCTACCTGATAAGGGAGTTTTAGTACCTTTGTGTGCTGTGACTAAATTTCTAAGTCGTTTACCCAATCGTTTTTGCACATGAGCCACACATTCAGATTTTATTGGAGAGATGTCAAAATACTGGTAAGGATTTCGACATCTATTCAATAAAAAATAACAACATTTTTATAAGCTGTTTATAAGATGTTATATGCTGTTTATAAAATGATGAGATGTTAGTTTTTTTTATTTGTAACAACGCAAACCCATTTTAATTTTAATCTTCGTGATAAATTTCTTTTATTTACTTGTTTATCAATTTAAAAACAATATCAATGAAATTAAAATCAATTTTAAAATAATTTGGTAAAAAATAAGGAAAATGTTACAGTGTAGGAGACTGACATTACCAGACCAAAAACACTCCTGTTCTTAAATTAAGTTTTGAAGTATGACTTTTAAAATTCTATATAAAGCTCGTAACTACCTAGCTTAAAACAACTTTATTACTCTTTTATCCACATTTACATAAATTATGCCAACACTGCTTGGGGGAGTACTGTAAAAAGTAAGTTAAAACTTCTTTATCGTCGTCAAAAGCATGCGATCCGCATAATTAACTATGCCGATCGTTTTACACACACAAAACCTCTTTTTACTGAAATGAGATTGTTAAATTTATTTGAACTCAATGTATTTAAAGTTTTATGTTTTGTATATCTATGGAGAAATAATCAATCCCCTACCGTTTTTAATAATACTTTCAAACTCAAACCTAACAACAAATACGACATGAGAAACATAAACTTTTTAAAAGAACCATTTTGTCACACAAAATTTAATCAATTTTGCATTGCTTATCGTGGACCCCACCTATGGAATAATATAGTTTTGCAGAATTTTGATTTACCAACTTCCTTTTACCTTTTCAAGCTCAATCTAAAAAAATGTATTATTTCACTTGATAATATACACAGATACTTCTAATATTTTGAAAATTGTTATACAACTTGAATTCAGTACTTTATTTTAATTTTTACTTTATTTTTTAGTATCTTATACTGGTATTTATTTTGCTTGTTTGTGCTTTATAAGGTTCTGATGACAAGATCTTGTGATCTTCTTTCAGATCCTAGCTTATGTTTCATTGTAAACAGTTTATGTATGTGCGCATCTACGCATTTGTATGTGTATATATGCTTATATTTATATATGTATGTCCGTGTTTTTTCTTATTTTAATTTAGTTGATAAATGTTGTAACACGAATTTAATTGTAACACGATATATATGGCATATATAATTGTACTTTGACATTTTAATGTAAGCAAAATTAAAAAAAAAAAAAAAAAAAAAAAAAAAACGAAAAACTAACAAGAGCCTGCTTTCAAAAACATTAAAATCAAGTTTGTGGTATTTTTTCGTATTGAATTCAAAAAACCTCCAATGTTTGGTAGTTGCTAAGGCGTCTTTAGGGAAATTTTTTATTATGTCATCTACTAAAATGACGTTAGATCAACTTAAACTATTTTTGAAAATAAATTTTGTTACTGAATGTTGCATTAATTGTTGCAGGAATGATTGTGAAATCAAAATACCAAAATTGAATGTTGCAGGAATGAATGATTATGAAACCAAAAAACCAAAAAATGCTAAATGTGATTTTTAAAAACTTATTTATTTTTAGTTGTGTGCCACTTTTTGAGAAACTAATTAAATTATATAAAAACAATTCAGCACTATTAACTTTTTTTGCTTTAACTTTTTCAAAGCCACATAGGCTATTCATTTTTTTTCTTCACTTATTTGCTGATTGTTGACTGTCTTATGGCACCATCAAAACAAGCTTTTTAAATGAGAAGTCAGGTACAAATTTTTATCTCAGACAAATTTAATAAATAGCAAAAGTTTTTTTTGGAGGCATTCTTTGATGTAGAGATTGGTAGTCAAGGTCTTCTTAGTAACATAAAAAGAGGATTGCGTACCACAGCTACAAATTCTTGCCACAGAAGGAACTTGGATGCAAATTTTTCTCGTCAAACATATTTAGATTAATTACTAACAAAATCCGTAAAATCCACTTTACCTTTTTAAACTTATAGAAAGTTTTCTTTCTTCCATTTCAAGGTTTTCTTTTGAAGCTTTGAGTAGTTTTGAACTTATTTATAATATCTATGACTGTAGATTTTGGGACATTTTTACGTTTGGCAATCAAGCGATATGATGTCGATAGATTTTTGCAAAAAAAATTCACAACTTTTTTACGCACCTCAATTTGTTTCCGAAAACATTTTGCAAATCATTGGTTTGTAAACAAAAGTTTATCAACACAATTAAA